AGAAGAAAGGAAAAGAGAGAGTTGGCATTAATATATTAAATTAGAGATTATAAAAGCGCATCTTAAGCATGTAAATTGATTTAATAAATAAGTTTTAAAAGGGATAAAAATAGCTTTTCTTTATGTTGGGAAAGGGGAAGGAGAAATTATTTCCTAAGAGAGATGAAAGAAATGGTTGTATTTAAAGCTATAAAACTATTTGGGTGAGTATTGATTGAGAGGGGTAAAGAGGTACCTTTATAGTACTCTTGTTATGTGAGAATTAGGAATTCTCTTTTTAATAAGGATAACAAGAAAAATAAATTCCTTTTTAATTAGGATTAATGAAACAAAGAAATACTTGTGTAATAAGGATTGTTGGTGGTATTTTTGTATTTTTCTGAAAAATTAACAAAAAAATAATAAAATACAGCGAAATGGATTACAAACTGATAAAGGTCCACTATAATCTTGAGTCTAATTGTGCATCATTGCGTCCCTTTTCTTGGACTTTCACCACACTTTCTGAGTAATGGCGAGCCAACCTGCAACCTACTTACAAGAGTCCACTCTAAAGAGGCCGTTGTAGCCTTAAAGGGTTCCGTTGTAGCCTTGTCAACTTCGATTCATGTTCTAGCTTTATCATTACTAAAATCAAACAAAGAAGACCGAGGGCCAATTTTGTAAAGAACAGGTTTGAGAGCCAAACATCCAACTAGTTAGTGAAAGCATACATGTTTGAGAAATGTTCCAAGTGATCATAATAACAAAATTGAAGCCAAAATTTAATTGAAAATACGGAAAATTTATGGAAAGTAATGTTTTGGTCTAATGTAGATTATGTCAGACAGCTTACGGTAAATTTGCAGGGTCTGCGGGGCTTTGCCTTTTGATTTCAATTTGAGCATTACAAAGATGTGTTCAAACTTGGAAAAACTATGCAAAGGATTTATGAATGCAAAAGCATAAAACATCTCCCAGAAGTACGAACAGGCAACGAAGGAAAACTTGAGGAAGTGACGGAATCCCCATGTTTATGTAGGAAGTGGTCTTGATCTATTTTGGATGATTTATATGGTGATTCTGTGTTGATTTTGTGGCTGTAGTGTTTGGGAATGGTGGATATAGTGCTTGAGTGGTTTCATTTGCTGGAGAAAGGAAGAAGCACGACTAAAGATGCTAAAAAATGTCTTAAGGATTTTTGAATGCAAATTTCATGATGCCTTCAGTGAGAAAACTCTAGCCTTTATATAAAGGCTTGGAGATAAGTGATAAATATAATAATTAATAATTAATAAATTTGAGATAAATAGAAATTAGGATTTATATTAAAATATAAGTCTGTTAAGAAATAAGATGGAAAATCATAGAGACTTAAGTGAGTCCAATTACATTTAGGAAAATTATTTATTTAAATAAAAAATAATTACTCAATGAAATATCTAATATTTCAATAAGATAAAGAATATTGAAATAGTAAATTTATCTAGACTTAAGCATGTCCAGATTCATTAAATTTAAAACTAAATCAATAAAAGAGATTTATACAGGTATTTTAGAATTATAAATCCCGAAAAATAATTTTATTATTAGATAAATAAATATAAAAAGAGACAAATGCCTCAAAATAATATTTTATCAAAGATAAATGCTAAAAAACAAATTAAATTCAAAATCATTACGGATTTAAATAATTGATACTGTGAGAGATAAATTTGGAAATAATTTATCTCTCGATGGAAAAAAAAATTAAAAATATTAAAGCATTTAATAAAAATTATAATAGAAATGACCCAAATGTCCCTTATAGGTTTTTATGCGGAATTAAGTGAATCAAGGTGGCTTAATGCAAATAAAACCTTTGAGAGGGTTTTTGGTAGTTTTGAAGACTTTGGTCATGCTTGAGCCAATCTAAAATCTGGATTTTTTTTGTTAACAAGAAAATGTCGTAAGAGCGAGAATTTTGCAAAATTCATGGAAAATGGAATATGCATTATAAAGGTTAGTTTTGAACTTGTTTCTATGCAGGTGTTTTACTACATGGGAAAAATTGGAAACCTAAAAAAAACACATTCTAAGAGGTTGAAACGTGCTCAAGGATATTTTGGTAATTTTTTATTTTTTTGCCTCTGAGGGGTAAAACAGTCATTTTGCTGCCTAGATTGATAAAGGTTAGTGTTTTAGGACTAATATGATTTTTGGGAGGTTTTTGGAGTTTGAAAAGTATTTTTCCTTAGGTTTTATTTAAATAGGCTTTCACACCTTTTGATATGAGATGTCCAATTCAAAGAAACATCTCAGCCCAATAGGCCTCTTCGGATACTCTAATACCGCCACACTGTAATCCACATAGATTGCCCCGTTGAAGTGGCTTGGGTCCATCGGCCTTCGGAAAGGGAAAATAGTGCTTACTTGGTGGAAGCATGCCAGATTTTGCGTTGAGCTGGATTTGATCCTCGTGTTATGGAAAAACTTGTGAAAGGATGTTGGTTGGATCCTTGGATTGAAATGAACCTGAAATAAGAGATTGTCATCTTTGATTTGCTTTAACAATGGTGCTATCATGTGATGGGATTTTATGGGACACTCCTTGCCCTTTCTTGGTGGACTTTTAGAAACAGTGTCATTGTGTGAGGGGCTTTTGTGGGACACTCTGTGCCATCTCTTGATGAGCTTTTAGTAATGGTGTCATCATGCAATGGACTTTTATGAGACAATCTAAGTCATCTCTTGATGGGCTGCCAGCAACGGTGCCATTGTGTGATAGACTTTTTGGTAGCAAGTGTCATAGGCTTATGAGTAGACCTGGCAAAACAAGTTTGGACCCGCGGGTCGACCTGTACCCTGGTAAAAAATATAGGGTACAGGTTCAATATATTAAACCCATTTTTTGAGACCCGTACCCGTACCCGCTTCAATAACTCACAGTTTATACGGGTGAACCTGCAGGCACCCATATTTTGCTGATCACTATTCACTATTCAGTTCACTAATGAATTTGAATCCCTAAGTTTTTATCACGCATTCACGCTCACGCCTCTCACAGTCTCACTCTCATCTCATCTCTGATCTCTCAGTCTCAGATCGCAGCCGCATCTCATCTCTCAGACTCTCAGTAACTCAAATCTCTCTTGCCTCTCAATCTCTCATCAGTCATCAGTCTTCTTCGTGCCTAAAGTTCAACTCCCTGTCTCGGTGTCTCCCTCTTCGTCAGTTCGTCACTCGTTCGTCATTCCCATCCCTAGTTCGGCAGTACCATAGTCGCCGATCGTCGTCACTCATCCTCGTGGGCTGGTAATGAATCCCTAACCCCTAATTTTGTGTGTTTGTTTTTGTTTTTTTGACATATTTTGTGTGAGCTTTCCTTGTACGTCGATCTATATCGTTGAGTGTGTTTGTGTTGGGTTCCCCTGGTTGATGGGTTTTGCAAGTGGGGTTTACTTAAATGTATAAGGGATGTATACTAGAATCAATTATTATCGGTTATGTGTATTTGCTAGTCACTGAAATTTATATTACCAAAACTGTGTTTCCTTAAAAATGTTGACTGATGTCTTTGCACAAATTTTTTAAATGATTAACTTTGAAAGATATGAAATACTTTCACTTATTTGACTCAGTTTTAATCTAGTTTGAGTTGTTTGGATGGAGACAAAATGAGAGGTAGTGAAGAACAGCCAAATGAGCATGAATGGTTAATAAGAGATAGCAGGAAGAAAAGTGAACGGCCCAAATCCAGTCTGAAAAACTTTTAATGATATGAAATACTTTCAATAATTGTACTTATTTTTGATATATATTTGAGTTGTTTAGACTGAGAGAAAATGAGAAAGTGAGAGCAAATTATAATTTCTACTTTAGTTTTATTGTTTGACTTGTTTGGATGGAAAGAAACGTGAGAAAATGAGAATTTTATTTATTCTTAATCTGGTTGAGTTATTTTGACGGAGAGAAAATTTGAGAAAGTGGAAGAAAATAAGAATTTTACTTGGTTTTAATCTTCTTTGAGTTGTTTGGGCAGAGAAAATTGGGTAGAAAGAAAATGTGAGAAAGTGAGAGAAAATTGGAATTTAATTTAGTTCTAATCTAGTTTGAGTTGTTTGGACAGAGAGCAAATGTGAAAAAGTGAGAAAATTATAATTGTACTTAGTTTTAATCTGGTTTTAGTTGTTGGGAGAGGAAATGTGAAAACGTGAGAATAAATTAGATACAATTTGGTTTGAGTTGTTTGGGCAGAGAGGAAATTTACGAAATTGCAAGAAATCTGAGAGTTCAGGGAATTGAGAGAATCAGAAACTTTTCTAGTGGCTTCCATTTAATTTATTTGTTTGGAATGAATTGAATCGTCAATTACATGAGTATTTTTTATGCTCAAGTATTTGGGAAGAAGCTTTTGTATTGGCTACCATTTGAGGTGGCATTCCTAAATTATTGTTCTTACAAGTTTATTTGGATTAGTTAAAATTGTGAAATTTCTTGATTTCATTTATTGCAGCGGATATTGTGTTCGATTATCGGCAGAAGGTGACGAGGTCATTTGATTATCTTCAAGGAGATTATTACATAGCTCCATTGTTCATGGTAAGTTTTTCTACTGTCTTTAGTGTAGTTGCTAATGATGGTTTACGTGGATTTTTTTATTTATTTTTCTCAAAATGAGCCATGAATGCCATGCTACCCTAGAATTTAACTATTTTGTCTTGCTGATTTTTTGAATTGATTATGTTAGCTGGGTTCGTGTTTTTCGTTGTTTTTTTATTTCTATTGGTGTGTTTTTTAGTATGTTTTTAACAGTCTTTTCGATAAATAGTTTATATGCTTTCTTTTCTTTTTGGTTGAAGACCGAGTGAAGAATTTGGCATGAATTGTTGTCTCTAAATTTTTTATGTTTGGCTAATTTATTTAACCTCTAATTTTCCACCTTTATCAGGGCTTTCTAAGCTGAAGGAGTTACAAATTTCCAACTCATTACAGATTGAAGTCATTACAGATTTAATTGCTGCAGGACTCCAATCAGGCTGAACACTCACTCCTGGAGCTATGATATCAGGCTGAACATATGTACAAATCTAATTATTATCCCATTCAGATGGCTTAAGATCTATGTTTAAGGAAACTGAGTTGCCAATTATACCTTAAGTATCTCTGGGGTTACTTTATTGGGTCCCTTTGATGAAAAAGCTGTCATGAAGGGAGCTGGCTTTGTTCCAAGTTTTGTGGTTGCACGAGTAATGTAAGCAACAGGATTCCTATTAGGGAAAAAAATTATCAAATTTGTTAAATGTAGTACCGATTGCAAATGCTATGGCTAGGTATGCTTGTTTTCTTACTTGGTTGAATTGATGTAACGATATACAGACACACCATTATTGGTTGTATTATATGTTATTGTTTGTTTATGTGTTATTTGTTTATTTTGGTTCCTATTTGTTTATATTCTTAATTGAATTGAATTTAGAGTAGTTGATTTAGGGGGTGTAAATGTAAAAAATTAAAACTGCAGGAATTTTGGGGGAGTAATTGTCATAATTGAAAACTGTTAGGGGTAAAAGAAAAACTAAAATATGGAGAGAGAAAAAACGGGTCCACCCGTACCCGTATAGGGTAGGGCACAGGTCTAAAATATTGGACCCGTATATATTGACCCGTATAAGGACACGTACCCATTTGACCCGGCCCGTACCCAATCCACCCACCCGTTTTGCTAGGTCTACTTATGAGAGTGCTAAGAGCTTGTATGAAAGGATATATGCCTAGGCTTAAGTGTTAGAGAATGCCGAAATGCGTTGGGCTTGCATGTCAGAGAATGCTAACGGCTTTTACAATTGTTTTGAGCTTACATATTAGTAAATGCCAGAATGTTTTGAGCTTACATATCAAAGAATGCAAAGTGTTTTGGGCTTATATAATAGGGAATGCCAGAATGTTTTGGGCTTATATATCAAAGAATATCAAAATGCCTTGGGCTTACATGCCAAGGAATACTAAGGGCTTACCAATTTGATGGTGCCATGAGCTTACATTTGATGATGTCATGGGCTTATATTTGTAAATTGTCATGGGACCCAAGAAGTAGTGATTTGGGCCGAGAATGTAATTTTGAAGTTTAAGTTGTAGCTTTGTACCTTCATTGGAGCCTCCATTTGGCTTTGATTATGTTTTGTTTTATTAAAATATATTATTATAGTGAATGAACCTAAATTTGGAGAAGAGAAACTAAGTTTCAAATTTAAAATTGGCAAAAGGGGGTATAAAAAAGTCTAATTAAAAATTGTGGAAAAGTGGTCTAAACAAAAACACTGATTAAGTTTGAAAATAGGGGAAAACAGTGTTATAGAAAGCCCTAATTAAGTTTGAAATTGGGGGAAAAAAGGGTGCAAATGAAACCCTAATTAAAACATAATTAAACATGATTATTTTTGGTACTAAATGGGGTTTAAAGAGAATCTTTTAAAACATAACAGGGGTGTATTTAATAACGAGGGATAGTGGTCAATTTGATGAGGGCTAAAATTCACTTCCCGTACCTCACATGAAAAGCCCATAAAACAAAGTTACAAACCGAATTCATAAAATAGCCTATTCAAGTTTGATACCTTTTTTTACCACCACCATCTGGCATATAACTCATCCTACTGAAACTTTTTTTTTTTTTTTTTTTTTTTTTTTTTTAAATTTGACCCAGGTTGCAAGTTGATATGTGCATCCATGATCTGCCCTTGGATTGATGCATTACTGTGTTATGCTACTTTATGTTTTAAGTAATTTTTTGAACAAGTGCTTATCTACATTTAGAGTGGTTCTATTGGCACCCCATTGTTTAACTAAAGAAGTCCCACTTCTTAATACACTCCATTTAAACTTTTAAAATTAATTTTTTTTTTTCTGATTGCACGTTATAAATTCCATAAATACCCTTATTAATTAGGGTGTTTTGGGATACAGAAATAATAAATAAAATTCAGCAAACGAATTAAATTACAAATGGCTTCAACTTAATTAAACAAAATTTTGTCTTTCTGTTCACTATCAAACACGCTTGCTTCAGGAATGGTAGATTCGTTGTTGTCTTCTCCATTGAGTTCCCCACCACGAATTAGTTCGAAGAGTCAGCCCGCGAACTTCCTCCGGAGGTTGGCTCAAAGAAGGATCTCATTGCAGACTTGCATGGCTAATGACAGTCAAAGGAAACCAAGGGCGAATTTGGAAAAGATTTTGGTTTGAAGCTGGGTTAATCCAATAAGTCATGAAAAAGTTTTTAAAATACTAATTTTAAGCCAAAACTCCAAATTGAAACGGTTTCTAAAGCACATCAAAATCAAACGGTCAAACGCAAGGGTCTGTGCATAGTATTTTAGTGGAAAATACGGGTTTTACAATTTCAGCTTTAAAATCGAATATGAAATAATTTCTTAAACACTTTAATATGCCCAAGACAAAAAATACCTTCCCAAAAGAGCAATTAAACATGCACAAAGAGTCACCAGTTATAAGAAATATTCTAAACTAACGCATGAAATTAACATATACAGGATATGGTAGATGCGTTTTTAATTCTTCAAAATATCATGTTTCGTGTTGGAAAAATATATTATGACATGGGAATCTAAATGCCTTTAACAAATTTAAAACAAAAGACTTTCTTATCTTGATGCAACTCATCCTAGAGAGAGAAAGTAAACAAAACTTGTATCCTGGAGCGAGATAATGCTGGATCTTTGGCAAAAGTGTAAGTCCAGGGATTGTTAGAAGGCTGAAGGGTGTGTGCTTGTGATGTAGGATGTGAATATGTGGCTAAAACACTTAAAAACTACAGTTTCTCTCTCTAAAACGGGATTGGAGTTTTGTAGATCACTTATTGGAGCTATTTGTGTCTGTTATGGTGAGGAGGCTTGTGAGCTCAAGGTGAGCTTTGGGGGGATTTTATTAAAAGACCATTTTAACTAAAAATTTAATTAAAAAGCTATAGAGTTTGTAAATTTTAACTAAATGGTCTTGTTTTTTATTAAGCTTAATTAAACATGATTAGGGGGTTAATTAGAATTAATGAATAATTGTGTAATCTTTTAAAAATTATAATAAGTCTCAAAAGAGTCGAAAATCTTGCAAACAAACCCAAACACCTTCTTCTTCTTCCTCCCGCCACATTAATGCATTCCTCCGCCATTAACATCTTCTCCAACACAGATCCTCCTCGTCCTCCTCCTCGTCCTCCTCCTCCTCCTGCTGCTGTTGAAATTTCGTCCAGGCATGTGTATCTCTCCTTTCGATTTACAAAGATTTAATGATGGATTGGGTTTGGGTTATGATTTTGATTTAGTTGTTTAGGTTGTTGGGTTGTGTTTGATGTAATGGAATTTGAAAGGAGTGGAATTTGTTGAAAATTTTCTTGCATTGTGGGTAGCTGGGGGTGGTAGCACCGATTGTAGGTGGAGATGACTGAAAACGTGTTTTGGATCGCTTAAGCGATCTGGTACGCCTGGTAATGCAGCAGATAGATCGCTTAAGCGATCTGCTAAAAGTCTGTGTATAGCAGTAAATGGCAATGGATCGCTTAAGCGATCATGCCTATTTACACTGGATCGCTTAAGTAATCCATTATATCGCTTAAGCGATCATGCTTATTTACACTGGATAGCTTAAGCGATCCATTATATCGCTTAAGCGATACAGCAGATCTGTCAAGCGACTATGCATATGCTTTTTAAAATACTCCAACCTTTAGTACATCAGTTAAGAATATTTTTTTTCTTGCATTATAGGTAGTTGGCTATTATTAGACATGAGACAAGTTGTTTTAGATGTTGAATATTTTGGTGAGTGGGTTGAGGAATAAAGTAGGTGGAAGTAGATTGGGAAGAGCAAAGAAGTTATACTAATTGCTGTGAGCACAGAGGTTAGTTTTGATGAGTTGATTGATGAAATAATTAGAAGAGGTGATTTGAGTTGCTCACGTAGTGATATAATTGTGAAGTATGTTTTAAGCAGAGTTCCTGAACATTATAAGGTACCTCCTGCTATATTAAAGTCGGATGAAAATGTGAAGTTATATATGATTGATGTGGCCGATAATGATTTGAGGCAAATTTTAAGGGTTTCTTTTTTAGGAAAACCGTTGGAAGTTGGTTCAAAGGAAGGGGATAACGAGGAAGTTGGTGGAGATTTGCCTGGTTTTAATTTGAACTACGAGGGCATTGATTTGTTAGTGGAAAAATCAAGAGTAGACGGTGAATTGGGTGGTGAGGAGGACACTGTAGAAGAGGTTGGTCATGGGCGGCAGAATGAAAATGTTGAGGAGGACCCGTACATGTTCCCGTAGATGTAGAGATTCCTTTAAATAAAAATTATGCAGAAGGTGTAGTTTGTGAGGAAGAGAACACTATGGTTGTTTATGCAGGTTCAGAGGGGGCAATTACAAGTAGTAGTGAATCAGCTCATGTTTTTACAGATAGATCAGAGTTGCGCATAGGGTATTTATTTGACAACAAAGAGGAAGTGGTGAGGAATCTAAAACTTGTTACTGTGAGAGGTAATTTTGAGTTCATCACCAAAAAGTCAAATTCATTGGTTATGACAGTTGCATGTCGTGACCAAAAGTGTAAGTGACGGGTTTACTGTAGAAGGTTGGCGGAGTCCGAAAAATTTATTCTTAGCACATATACCCGTGAGCACACATGTGGTTTGGGACATATTTCAGGTGAGCATCGACAAGCCTCCGCTGATGTTATTGGACAATTTGTCAAAAGTCAGTTCGTTGAAGGGAAAGGTCCATCTCCTAAAGACATTCAGAGACTTGTACACACAGAGTTGGGATGTGTTGTTAGTTATTGGAAATGCTAGAAAGGGAGACAACGTGCACAAGATTTTGTGAGGGGCACGCTGGAGCACGGGTACGCAGTATTAGAAACGTACCATTATATGCTTGAGTTGACGAACGAAGGTAGCAAGACGGCTTTGAAGTGGGACAGGAATATGATGTTTAAATATTTTTTTGTTGCTTACGGTTTTGCTATAAGGGGTTTTGTAAACATGAGAAAGGTGTTAGCTGTTGATGGTTGCTTTTTAATGGGAAAGTATGGAGGTACATTGTTGGTGGCCATTGCATAGGACAGTGAGAATCACACATATCCTCTTGCATGGTGTGTGGTTGACTCTGAGAATGACAAGTCGTGGACTTGGTTTTATCAGTAATTACGTATGATAGTGCTTGACAGTGATGAGTTGTGCATAATATCTGATAGGCACAACTCTATAAAGAAGGGGATTGTTACTATTTACCCTCAAGCACATCACGGATTCTGTATGAGGCACCTTGGTAAGAACATAAAATAAAAGTTTAAGTGTGCTGGCCTCCTTCAGACAAACTAC